TCAATTCTTTATCAAATGGTAATACTTTTCTTAAGTAAAAAACTGAAATCTTTGCCTTTTGAACAAGCTACTCAATAGAATTTGAGAAAAGAGACAAAGGAACATAGTTACAAGGGATCTTATAAGACCAGCCACCTGTGCTACCAATAAAAATATGGAGAGATAAGATTTATTCAGATCAAATATGAATTGCTAATTCAGAAAAGACACAGGTAGTCTCTAGAACATCAAGTACTTTTTAATTGAGAAAGGATGAACCAATTCTGCAATAATACAGATAAGCAAACATGTTTTAGAATAAATTGTACCTACACACTGCTGTTAAACCAATTTGGTCAAAAAGGCCTTTCTTAAGCCAGAAACTTCAAATCACTTCTTTTTTTATTTTTAATTAGTTGTTGATGGACCTTTATTTTATTTATTTATATGCAGAGCTGAGAATTGAACCCAGTGCCTCACACATGCTAGGTAAGCACTCTACTACTGAGCCACAACCCCAGCTCTTCAAATCACTTCTTTAAAAAGAGATTTTTCTTTTTAAGTTTTATTTTATTAAAAAATAAAATTCTTAAAATTTTATTTTAACACATAATTGTACATATTTATGGGATACAATATATTTTGATATTCTGTATACATTGTACAATGATCAACTCTGGGTAATTAGCATATTTATCACCATAAACATCACTAATCCAGGGAAAATGCAAATTAAAAGTACAATGCAGGCTGTGGGGATATACTTTTTGGTAGAAAGCTTGCCTAGAGCATGAAACCCTGTTTGCATCCCCAGCACTCTCTCTCCCAAAACAAAACAAAAACAAAAATCCACAGGAGATTCCATCTCATCCCAGTCAAAACAGCCATTATCAAAAAGAAATGATAATAAGCATTGGTAAGGATGAGGAGACAAGGAGCCTTCACACACTGTTGATGGAAATATAAATTAGTATAGCCATTATAGAAACCAGTAAGGAGATTCCTAAAAAAAAAAAAAAAGATTAGAATTACTACATGATCTAGCAATCCAAATACTGGTTATATATCCAAAAGAAATAAAATCAGTATATCAGGGGCTGGGGCTATAGCTCAGTTGTAGAGTGCTTGCGTCGAAGGTGTGAGCCCCTGGGTTCAATCCTCAGCACCACATAAAAATAAATAAATAAAGATATTGTGTCCATCTACAAGTTAAAAAAATTTTTAAAAATCAGTATATCAAAGAAAGAGCTGCACTCCCATGTTTATTGCAGAATTATTCACAGTAACCAAAAGATTTTCTATTGCATTCTAGTTCATAAATAAAGATTGCATTATATGACAAACATGAAAACTTTCCAGAAATGAGATATCAAAGCAGGTTATTATTCTGTCACAAACTTTGATTTTACTATACAGTTGCTTTTTAAAAATGACTAGGGCTAGGATGTACCTCAGCCAAAGAGTGCATGGTGAACATGCCAGGTTCTGGGTTTGAACTCTAACATTGGAAAAAAAAAAGAAAAGAAAAAAAATTAGCTAAGTCTTATTATTTTCTTGTTTTTAGAGTGTCTTTTGAATTGGAATATTATGAGGAATTTTTTTTAATATAATTGAAAGTTTAATTTTTCTGCATTTGTTCAGTGTAAACTATTTGAAAATGATAATTTCTTTAATGTCAATCTGGTTGCAAATACCCTATAGGTAGGTAGATTTCTAGCTTTTCATTCATATACAATAAGCAAGCAAATATGAAGGGTGTATTATATTCCATTCCATTTTTTGTATGATACAATTAAACTATACTGTATGAAAGTATTATTTTCTTGTTTTTAGTGAGTCAGTCTATTTGATATGGTACAAATAAAACATTTCTGGTAGTGGAGATTATTTAAACTTAACCTGAATTCAATTGACCTTTTAATAATAACATTCACAATTTTTTTGAGTCTCAGAAATCTTTTATTTATGACAGACATACCCAATATAAGTGAAATTCAGTAACATTCACTATTCTTAATTCTAAATGTCACAATCACCTTTCCCCCCAATGGGTTGAGATGCATTTACTATTTGAAATTTAGAGGTCAAAAATGAACATACCATAATAAATTTGATATTCAGCACTGGGAACCTCACCATTTATTAGTGTTTCTTCAACATCCACAGTGACTTTCTCCCTTCTTCCCATTCCAGTTCTGCTGTTATGCAGTTTGTGAGAGTGAGCATATGTCAAATAGCTTTAGTAAAAATGCCAGTGCTGTCAGTCTATCCTCCTATACATTGCTATGACTATTTTGTGTCACCTTTCATACTTTCATTTCTGGTTTGTTCTGTGAGAATTTCCTGTTTATGTGACAGCTTCCCCTGCAACAACTGTGAACTACATAAGCACAGAGACCATAAGATTGACAGTGTATCTCCAGTGCTAGATAGTGTATGGAATATAATACACCCTTCATATTTGTTTGCTTATTGTGTATGAATGAAAAGCTAGAAATCTACCTACCTACAGGTATTTGCAGAATTTTAAGTCTGTGACTTACATCTTTTACATCTGACTTACATCTTTTAAAGTATTTATCTCTCTCTCTTCAACATTTGGTAGTAATGTTTGTGTGTCAAAGAGAAATGCTGTGGTAAGATGCCATGAAGGTAGATGCACTGTTCTAGGATCCTGAAATGACTTGGTTGGCTTTGTTATTGACAAAGTCAAAGATAACTATTCATTATAGGTCAGCCTAGATCTAAACAGTTGGGAATGAATGATACTTCTAGGATCAAGGCCATTTTAACATCTTTTACAGAAAGTGGTGTGGGGGTGGTGTTGCTAGGAAGGAAAATGGAAACTTAACCCAGGTGAAAAACAAAGTAACCCACAGTCTTTTTGGTTTTGAGCAGCCTTTTCACTCATTCACACTTCCTGGTCACAAAAGTGGTGCAGTGCTTCTTCTGCAATGGTGGACTCTTCTAATAGCTGTTTAGTTCTGGCTAAATGATGATTTGCATTTTCACCGTACCTTTTTACCCAAGAGATAAAGGCATTTTACATTCAACAATAGGGCCCAAGATAAATTGAAACCAATACAACGTGCTTCGTGTGCTAAACAATACCACTCTTGTGGGGAAAACGCACTGAACGGTGCTAATATATCCTTAACTAATTCTGGTAAATACACAGCCTGGGCATATACTGTGAAAGAGAATGAAATGGCGCAAAACTGCAACAGCAGTACTCTGCCCCTACAGTCCGTGTAATTTGCTTTTTGGATTGCTGGCGGTAAAATCTGAAGCTTGTCCACAAAAGCAAAATTAACCTCCAGAAACTTAAGATATTAAGGACACATCCGCACAATAAACAACAGTTTTAGTTTACCTTTAAATGTTTTCATTCTGTAGCTGGCACAAACTGCCACATGTAATTTTATCGCGAGAAGGGAGAATTAGAAAATAGGACGGGGCTATAGCAGAGCGTCACAGGTTCTTTTATTTACCTTTCACCATACAATTTACAGATGTTATCCTTTAAAAATCCACCGAAGATGACAGGAAACATTTTCTTCTGTCACTTCACCTCACCTGGCATCTAATTAACCATCTAGACCTGCCCTGGGGTTCGCTCGGTTCGCCTCGGGCAAGCTTGCAATAAACCGCACCGAGTCTACATAAGAACACAAGTGAGGGGGGTCGCTAGTCTCTTATCCAACGGCTTGGCTGACTTAAGATTTTTAAAAAAAATTTAAAAGCAGATACCACATTTTTTATACCTTTATTTATCCATTTTTACATGGTGAGGAGGATCAAACCCAGTGCCTCGCACATGCTAGACAAGCGCTGTATTACTGAGCCACAACCCCAGCTCCTAGATTTAGGATTTTTGATATCCTGTAAGTTTTCCAAGCTCTGCTCTTCGCTCAAGGAAATAGTAAGAAAGTAGCAAAGGTAAAAGAGAAAATGAGTAAGAACTCCCTGGCCGCCGCTGGCGCACGCGCATCAGGACAAAGCGCGGGCGCGAGGGGCGGGGCCAGGGTGCGGCGATGGAGCTCCGCCCCGCCGCCGCTCCGCCCCGCCGCCGCTCCGCCCCGCCCCGCCGCCGCTCCGCCTCGCCGCCGCTCCGCCTCCTTCCCCTCACCCCACCTCTCAGCGCCCGGGAGTGACTGACTCCCGCCAGCCCCTCCACGTCAATCAACCCTCCTCCTTCTCGCACTCTCCGCACCTTGTTATTAATCTCAAAACCGATATCGCCCGGACGCCTCTCCCCCAGCCTTCGGGGGTGTGAACGTGTGTGAGCGAGAGCGAAGGCACCGAAAGCTGGCGTCTTTGCTCGGCCTCGGCCCCAGCAGCATTCGGCGCAGCAGCAACCCCCGCAGCGGCGGCAGCCCCAGCGCCAGGAGGCCAAGGCCAAGGCCAGGCTCTGTGAGGCCCTCGGAGCAATAGCCGCGGCTGCGGGGGCGCAGCTTCTTCTGGCTGGGGCCTTCACGTCAGCGGCCGCGGCGCCTCTCCTGCGCGCCCAGGGTCACCGTCCTCGAAGTCCGGCGGCGCGGCCTTCGTCCCCCTCCCCGCCCCCCGATCCGTCTCCTCTCTCCCTTCAGCCGCCCTCCGCGCCGCCGCCCCTGCCGTTCCTCAGGCGGCCCGGCCCGCCCGCCCCGCGTCCCCTCCGGCCGGTGCCTCTCCCCCCGGCGGGCTGCCTGCATGTCTTTGCTGCCCTCAGCCCCACCGCCACCGCCGCCGCCGCCTCCCCCGCCGCCGCAGCCCCAGCAGCAGCCGCCCCGCCGCCGCCGCCGTCGCCGCCGCCCGGACCCTGGCGCGCTGAATGCAGGTGAGGAGGGGGCGCAGGCCCTCGGCGACCCTGGGCTTGGAGCGCCCGCCCGCCCGCGAGCTCTGAGTCCGGGCCCTGTCTGCCGCCGCGGCTTCCCCTCGGGGCGGGCGGGCGGGCGTGGGTGTTTGTGTTTGCGTCTGCGGCCGTGGCTCTGGAGGGGAAGCATCTGTGGGGGCCTGGTGCGCGCGCGCGCGTGTTTGTGTGTGTGTTTCCCCTGCCGCGGGGAAATGGCTGCTGTTGATCCTTCTGGGCTAGGGGAGAAGAATGAGGTAGAGTGTTTTTGTGCCTTCGGGTAGGATCGAGAGTGTTGGGAAGAGGAGAGCGTCCCCGGGGAAATGAGGTGGGAGAGGGACAAATGTTCGTGTGGGTGTGCGAGTTGGGACTTGGGCTGGCTGGAGAGGCCTGAGGACCCACGGAGAGTGGGTGTGTGGCGGGTGACTGGAGGGGGTGGCGGGGCCGCCCAGCGTCTCCTCGGAGGGGGCTAGGGTTCCGGGGTGTGTGTGCGTTGGGAGGGGGTCCGCGCTGGGGTGGGCACTCTGGGGGCGGCTTGCGTGTGTTCGGGACCTCCGAGTGGCGTGTCCCTCCCCCTTTGTGGCTGGGCTCGGGAGCCTCGCAGGTGGTAGCTGCTCGGAGGGGGCCGGCGGAGCAGTGGTGAGGGCGGTAGACACTAGGCGGCCAGGCTGCGAGAGCCGTGGGTCGACGCCTGCCGCGGTTCCCGGGGCAGCCGTTCTGGTGGCGGGACCGCGGCCGCGGCAGGAAGCGCGCCGGCCTGCAGCGCGGCCTAACCGCCTCGGCGCCCGCCTGCCTCCAGCCGGCCTCCCGGGACGTTCCCGGGACGCCGAGCTCGCGCGGGCCCAGGACGCTGCCTCGGGCCTGGGCAGGTGAGGATCGGGGGCGGGACGCCGATCGCCGTCGCCTTGGCCGCCTCCGCGTCTCCCGAGGAGCGAGGAAGGCTTATTTTGGTGTTCGAACTGCAAGCCTGCCTCTGCCGGCGGTGGGACCCGAGGGAAAGTGAATCAAAGCTGTAAATCTCGGAATACGCGTTGCTCAGATCCCTTCTTTTCACCATTCCCTTAAGGCTGTCTGTGGAGGGACTGAGTAAATATTTTCAATTTTTGTTGCAAATACTTTCTCGTTGGTAAGATTTTTTTTTTTTTTTTTGTAAGATAAGAGGTTTCCTTGGAGAGGCGGGGGAAGAAAGGGAAATTGGCTTCCCTTGGCCATGGTGTTGGTGGGATTGGATGGCTTTTGTGCATTTGATATGGTTTTATCCTGCCTCCTAGGGGGAAAGGCTAGTACACGCTGGGCTGTGGAGGTCCTTGAGGAAGAGGAAGTTACTGGAGCTGTCATCTTCCTTAACTGGGCCAGCTCTTTAGCTTGGGCTAATCAGAAGGATTTTATTCAGGGAGTTTAGCTGAACTGTTTGTATACGTTGGAAGCACAGTACCACATTGTAGGAAATACTGTCTTACGGCTTCTAGTTATCTTAATTGTCAAGATTGTCATGTTCAACAAACATGTTTTCCTCACAGTCTCCAAAACTTAGATCAAGCCGCCTCTATGTTCTACTCAGTATATGCTCCTGGAAAGCTATTCTGAGAGTAGTATAAGCAAAATGTGGTAATAAAAATAAACCTGCTGCCAATAGGCATACAATAAATTTCAAATATAAATGGCACTTGGGTAATTATTTGCAGGTTTACTTTCCTCTCTTTACATTTGTATCTAGTTAGCTCATCTAGCTAGAACCCTGCTATAGATAAAGTCTTAATACAAGTTTGATACTTTTAGGCCATGCTGCATAATGACCAGAGATTACCTGGTTTCATAAAGAAATAATGTATGTTGTTCATTGGGAAATGGGGGCAGGCGAAGGAGAAAGTTTTCTGTAACCATTACTTTGAAAAACAGTTTAGCATATATACTTAGTGGAAAAAGGACTTGTTTTCAATAGAGCTCAGTGGGAATCCCAGCTATGCCATTTTTTCCCTGTTTTGCCTTAAGCAAATTATCTAGTATTTATAAACCTGTTTTTTTTTTTTTTTTATCTTAATAGGGAGATAATGCCTTTTTAGTAAGGTCGTGAAAATAGAGAAAACATTTGGAACATAGTAGATGCTAAGTTAATTTTAGTTCTGCCTCCTGTAGGCCTGTGAGTATTGAAAGAATTTATTAGTATAAATATTAATTACTTACAGCAATATTATGTGTTGAATTAAAAATCAAGACACTGAGCTGGAGATGTAGTTTAGTGGTAGAGCACTTGCCTAGCATGTGAGGCCTTGTATTCTATCCCCAGCACAAAAAAAAAAAAAAAAGGAAAAGAAAAGAAAAAAGAAAAAGAAAACAATGGAATATTTTGGAGTTCTTTGATATATATAAAATTTATGTGAACATCTTTTAAAACATACAAGAAATTCTTTTTCTAGGAATAAAATTGTCATAGCCTATTATTTTATAGAGTAGTGGTTTCATATTTTTGAATAGTCTGTCTTTCCATTTCATTACTTTTTATTAGATTTTGCTATGTCGCCCTGGGGGGAAAATAACTTAAAGATCTGTGTATTACATACATGCTTCAATATAATCAAGCATTAAAAAATGATTAAGGAACCAGTCTGTCTATATAGATCTGTAAAGAATAGTGCCACAAAAAATGCTATATAGTTTTCAGTTCACATTGACTAATTTTGGTAAACCAGACCTATTGGAAGATTTTTCTGAGTGGAAGCAAAAGTTTTCTGTCAACTTCCAGTAATTTCCCATGTTTATTGTTTTGTGTGAAGTAATAAATGTGTTCATTAAATTTTAACTGTATCATGTAGGAAACATGGTCTGAACAATCAGGTAAAGCCAACAGAAAGGTTAATTAAAGGGTTTTATTTTTTTGGTTTACTTTTTTTGGTTTTGGCGGATGTAGGGCAAAGAATGTGGGAGGAGTTACATTGGTTTAAGTTTGTAATGTCCTTGTTTACAAATGACAGTTTTCCCAATTAGGTATTATATGTTGTTATAATTTATATCAGAAATAGTAAATATAAACCTTACTAGACTTTTCTGACACTAAAATTTCAACACTTCTAGAAAAATTTTTACATATAAGAACTTCTGAGACAGATGGTAGGGACAATTTTAATAGACTATAAAATATTAAATTCTCTTAAAATGTGTATTGTGGCTGGGTGGTGTGTGCCCATAATCCCAGCAGCTCTGGAGGCTGAGGCAGGAGGCTCAAATGTTCAAAGCCAGCATAAGCAACATAGCAAGGCCCTAAGTAACTTGGTGAGATCCTGCCTCAAAAAAAAAAAAAGGGCTGGGGATGTGGATTAGTAGTTAAGAACCCTGGGTTTAATCCCTGGTAGCAAGTGTTGTGTTGTGGATGTGTGTATATTTATAGTGGATAGCATTGTCTGCCATGTGGTTATATTTAAAGGAATAATTCTTTTAAAAATTGTAACAATTTTTAATATTTTAAAAAATAGAAATGAATTTTGCCTTAGTCTGTTAATTTCCATTAGACATTATGCATTGCAGTATTTAAAAACTCCTTAGTTTTTTAAAATTTTAATTTGGAATAATTGGAGAAAACATTTCTCTAATCACGAAAACAATGATCTTGAACTGAGAGATGGGCAATTCAGTTGTTTAGATTTTAAAATTTAATGTTATTCAAAGTGACTTTAAAACAGTCTTCCCAAAATATTCTAGAGTATAGATGTCTTTAATTAGAGCAAATTGTAATATTTAGGAATTTCTGCATTTATTACTTTGGGTAATGTCAATGAGGGTAATAAATATACTGAAAATAATACAAGTTTATTTTTTTTCTACATGGCAGTCCAGTGCAGGTGCACCTGGTTATCAGGTTTGTGACTTTTCACTCACCCATGTGGTAATTTAGAGATCCTGTGACTCAACCATTCCTAAGTCTTGGAGTCCTTCTTCCTGTTGCCCACAGACCATTTCTTAAGAACCCCTAGTCTGAAAGTGATAAACATCTCCCTAAATGTCATTGACAGGGTTTGTCATAGAGCCTTATTTGAATGCATGGAGGATGAGAATTGTAGTTCCTAGATAGTGGACTGCTTAGCAGTTTCTGCTTACAAGGGGCATTTCATGATGTTATTTTATTTATTTTTGGGGGGACAAGGGATTGAACTCAGGGGCACTAAACCACTGAGCCACACCCCCAGCCCTATTTTGTATTTTATTTAGAGACAGAGTCTCACTTGAGTTGCTTAGCTTCTCACTTTTGCCGAGTCTGGCTTTGAACTCTCAACCCTCTTGCTTCAGCCCCCCCAGAGTGGCTGAGATTACAGGCAAGCACCACATGCCCTGCTCATGGTGTTATTTTAGATGGTAACATATTTATAAAGTTATGCTAAAAAGTGAATTAAAATTCTTAAGGATTGCTTTCCATTTTCTAAAAGTAAAACTGTGCATGTAGGAAAGGGAGTAAATAGAAAAGGAGAAAAGGATATGAGCTACTGGAGGAGGAGGAGGAATGAGAGCTCTTATAGGTGAGGGACTTGGATGACAAGTTAACTTCAGCAGCTACTTAAAGACATAACAGTTTTAAGCTCAGTGGCTGGGTGCCCCTTATTTAAAAATACATAAATAAAGACATAATTTTTTGGAGAACATTACCTTTGGATTCTATAACATTTGATGGGTCACTTCTTTGCTATCAGTTACTGATTGTCAGTGAGTTTTAATGGGTTCTGACTATTTGAGTTACTTCTCTTAGTAACTTTGAAATTAGTGGAGATCAGTAGGCCAAAACTCGTGAATTTCAGTTTTTGGGGTATATTGTCATAGGAAATACTCTTTAAAAAAATATGGATTTCTTTATTTATAATTTCGAAGTACACACACCTTTTAAAACTATGTATGAAACCCAGTGACAAAACAGGGTAGAATGTAAATTGAAACATTTTTTAAAAACATTTTTCTCTGTTGGGGGGATAGAGTATTATTATTATTATTTTGTACTTTGATGGATATCATTTAGGTGAATCTTATCATCTGTGTGCCACCGTTGGCTCTTTTTGTAATTCTAAAGTCATTAAAATTAATTTGAGCCTTAATTAAATAACAAAATCATCAAATAGACCACAAATGTTTAATTATTAACTTGTGCTCATACTTTGTGATGAAAATACTACAACTTTTACTAACTGCATTTACATTAAACATTTAATATACTATGTGGATTTTAATTATGGACAACTTCAGTTTTTTTTTTTTTTTTTTGTGGGGGGATACTGGGGATTGAACTCAGGGATGCCTTACCACTGAGCTACATCCCTAATCCTTTTTATTTTTTATTATGAGATAGGG